TGCTTTGTATCATTAATTGTTATTTAAATTTCAAAGGCTGAGATGGAGCACTTACAAAAGTAATTCTACCTGAATATTGCTTATTCTCAAACAGCTTAGCGTATATTAAAAGGAAAATCGATTAAATATCTTTCCCTTCATGTTGTGTTAATTAGAAGCTAAATAAAACTGAGTAGAAAGATGGAAACTGAGCCATATGTAGTTACTTCTTTTGAGGAAAGAATTAGTTTTCATAAATGAAACTTGCAAGCAGTTCTAAAGAAATAATTTTCTGAAAACTTAATTAGTAAATAATTATTGAAGCTTGGTTGGTTAATTTAAACACAAGGGGTAACTTAATTTCGAATGTTTTCTCTGACAGCTCAAACGGAGAACATATAATTAAATATAAAGACATATAATTAATAACATAAAGACATATAACATTATATACGTATATATATGTATAATGTTATATGATATTAAATTCTCTAGTGGACCCATAGGTAGGAAGTTTAATTCCGAAAATTGTTTTAAAGTAACTTGAATGTAAATTGTTAAAAGTGTTTAAAATTTGTCAGTTTGGCATCACCATTATTACTTGAGTAAAAGACGAAACACCTTCGTATTTATTTATTAATTATTGTTCATTGAACAGGAGTTGATTTGTTCCCCTTGAAAAGTGAACTAATTTCCGATCAATGACAAGGATTACTTGCTTTTAATTTATTTCTTTTTACAATTGAAATTTTGTTATTCATGATTTAATTCAAGTACCCGTTAAACATTTTTAACAATTTACATTCAAGTTACTTTAAAACAGTTTTTCGAAATTGAACTTATTAACTATGGATTCACTCTTTTAAGATAATCCTACTAAATGTGATGCCTAATCCTACTAATGCCTCATCTTGTGAGGGCTCTTCAGTATTTCTCCCACAAGTGTCCCGAGCCCAGTGCAGGCCAGTGTCTGAAATGGTTCGCTTTCATTTCCTATCGAATGCTGCACAATGGTCAAAGAGGACTTTTCAGTATTTTTATACGATATGGATGCTTGGAGAGGCAATCATGGCAAGTAGCGAGGCGAAAAGTGGCAACAGATCTGTCCCTTGGTCATTAATGGAATATTTGTGATTTCCTCAACCCATTTCTTGCCTTTGTTTGTCTCTTTGATGTTTTTCCAACAGTCCTCTCCAAACGATGTTTTAATTAACCGTTTGGCGGTATAAAAAGAAATTGGTTTATCTGTTATTTGAGCCAATTTGGTTGCCTTCTTTTCCAGGGAGTCAGCTATTTCATTACCTTGGAGTCCAAAGTGTGCTGGTACCCACTGCAAAGCACCCTCCCTATGTTTTTCAATTAAATCATTAAGGGTCAGACGAATATTCAAATTATCAGCTGAAACAGAAGCTTCAGATCAAGAAATGGTCAGAAGGGCAGCCCTAGAATCTGCTAGTATAACAGCCCTTGAAAAAGTTTCAGATTGGCATTGGAACTGTGACAAGGCGGCGACTTTAATCGCAGAGATCTCCACGTCAAAGGCTGTTAAACCTTACGACAGGCGTGTAAAATGAGAAGACCCCATCGCCAAGGCGTATAATTGTGTGGAGAAAAGAAAATGAGGAACTTAATCCCAAGGACCTTGGTTGGAACAGCAAGGCATGGCGATGGAGGTGTTCTTGTGTGAGGGTACGTGTCAGTTTCAGGATTAAATAATTTAGTATTTATTGCTAGCACAATGAACCATGCTCTTGAGTTAAATATTTTAAAAGATAATTTAAAATTATCCGCCCAAAATTTGGGTACTGGAAATATATATATATATATATATAATTGCTATTTACCTCATAGATTCGTCAGTTCTTTTAAACCCCTCTGTAAGATTTTCTGTTTCCAGTGTTCTGCACACTGAGAATACAGAAAATTATATTTTTAGTTTGAAATTCTTTATGTAAATTTCATATTTTAAAGAGTGTATTCAAGTAGAAATAACTAAATTTGTTTGAAGAATAGAAACGATTTGTAAATAATATTTAAAATGACAGATAATAATAAATGAACTCAAAGGAAAAAACTGATTTGAGCAAAAAAGTTGAATGTTCAGCGAATTAAACCTAAATAAGTATAAAATTTTGCTTCTGTCATTTAATGAATTAAATCAGGCATCGTACAACCTTTTTTGGTTACGGGTCAAACTCAACCAAAATATGTGTATTAAGAAGGTGTTTCGGGTCAGTAGTATTTTCCTATCTTAGAACTGTCTTTCTTGGTGAATAATGAGATAAATGTTATTGAGAAAATCATTGCAATAAGCTTTGAAGTTTAAAAATAGAAATTATAATTATAATTATTATGAAAACAAACATAATGAATGAAGTTTATTTTTTTTTCTCCTCGATATCAATGGCTTCCTTGATGCTGAACTTGTTACGTCAGTTTAGTCAAGTCTAGTTTAGAGTAGTCCTCGTAAGACGAATACAAGGCAATTTGAATGAATTTTCGGTAGTAAAGCTGCTTCTGTTCGTACTTAAAATCAATTATTTGTGTGAAAATATTTGCTCGCATTTATAAGTTGAACAGAATGCTGACAGAATGGCGAAAATTCTTCGTTTTTTTGAATTATAGATGATGGATTAGCTTTGCTAAACTTATCGATTTCTCTTTGAAATTACACTTACAATTTGTCACAAGTTTTATTTTTTTAAAATAAAATTGCACATTCGTTACTGCAAGGTTATAATCAAACAAAAGTATTATTGTCCAAAGGGACAATTTACCCAGAAGGACTATTAATTTCGTTTTGGCAAATTTGCGTTGATTGACGGCAAGCGTTGTTTCACTTTTTAAATTGTTGCCACTAAATATTATCGCCCTGTATTATATTTAAAGAAATTAAATAATGAAGAATCTGCATGAACGTATATGTATGTTTCTCACATTGTGATAAAACAATGGTACCTAGAGCCATCAAAATTTGAATTACGTAATCTTCCATAGAATATGGGCATGTGGAAGTCCTAATTTGAATTTGAAATTTGTTTTATTATCGATTTCAGATTTTGTAATACTTCAACGAATTTTTGATTAAAAAAAACTAAACGATTTCAAAGCGAGAAATGGCAACACTGTACGAAAAAAAAAAAACATTTTTATCTCCAGCGCGTAAGACTGTGTTCGGAAATTCTAAAGATATGCCCATTAAAATTAATATGCGATATTGCTGTTGAACTGAATTTTATAGTTTGAGTACGTTAAACATGATATTTAATAAATAATGGTAATACAGAAAACATTAAAAAAATTAAATTACGCTTCTTTGAACGTAATTTCAAAATCTGAAACCTTTCAGATGGTTTTTAATTATTTATTGGATTACTGTTTTTTGTATTCTTCAGGTGCTCGTTTCATATTTATGTTTTATAATTTATTTTTACAATTTATTCGACAAATCCTAGATTTATGAGCAATAGATCCTTCTAAAACGAAAGTCAAAATTCCACTGATTTTCAAATGAATTAAATTGGATTTATTATTTAGTGGAACAAAACTGAAGTATATGCAATGGCTTTTACGTTTTTACATCCAGTGCTTCTATTTATAAGCTCTAGAATTTTAATTTTGCCATTTAATTTATTTATTAATTAATGCAACTAAAATGCTTCGATAATAATAGAATCATAAGGATAATATTTATTTTGAAATTTCAATATTGAAACCTTTTTTTTTTCTTATTTTATCGGATTTTAAAAATGTTGCATTTGATATAATTGCTTTGATATAATTTGATATAATTGCTTTATAACAATTATATCAAATTAAAGTTTTATAGTTTTTAGAAATTTCAATAATTATGTTGATTAAATCAAGCAACGAATATTAAAGTTTTTTAATCATTTTATTTCAAGAAGGTTATTAAATTTTACGGCCATTCATAATTAAATTTTTGAGTTACATCTTAGGAATTTTGAATTTATTTGTGAATTAAATGTGAAAAATGAAATAATTTTGAGCATTACTACAGAAAATATATATAATAATTTGGTGCTTGGCACTTTCTTCATTTGGCATATTTCTTCAGCGATAAAGCATCACTAGTTGGATTTTTTTCTTGACATAAATACTTTTATACAGATTTTCTTTTTCTCTTAACTGCGAGGATTCGTTTTTTATGATGACAAGAGTTAACATCTATTGAGCTTTGCGAACTACAATTTCAAATGAATTACAATGCAACCATTGATTGGAACAGTTATATACGAGGCATACTCCAATTTCTTGTTATTTCGATCTAAGGCTGTATCAGTGGATGCAACAAAATTGTGGCAATTGGCGGAACCTTATTCAGAAGAACCAAACAGCGTAGGCTGTGTTCTTACCTAACAGCTGATTTTCGGTGGAATGTGTCTTGAAACTGAAGAATTATTCCTTCTTCCTATTTCCAATAACTGGGTTGACTAGATTGTCAAAGTTCAACAAATCATGTACTAAATGAGTACAAACTTTTATATTTATTCCATATTCATTTAAAAGTATATATTTTTAGAATAGATTTTGATTAAGGGCATTCAAATCTTTCTTTTTTATTTGCTGCACTGTATTTATAAAGTATATTTTGTATTGGCAAAAACAGAAGAGTAACTTCACCGAAAGCTCTTAATAATACAAAAAATATTTGTATTAGAATTTATACTGAGTTCAAGCACAGGTGACAGGGCAGGGCAAGGTCTGGACACCCGGACGGATTTCACTGACTATTCGGGTACCGTTCGGATCCAGGAACTGTCCAGAAAAACAATATTGCCAAACAGGGGCAGATGGTGCAAGACAGACGTATTGACAATTTTTACAATACCAATGCTTATTATATAATATATGACAATACAGTGATACTTACATCAAAAAGTGTTGTCACTATGTTGAATTACTACAGTATTAATACATCGTTATACATTATACATTAATAGGGCACTCGATATTTCCAGTAAAATGTAAATTATATATATTGCTTGGTCGATGCTTACCCCCATTGGTCGATGCTTCTTCTCCAGATATATTCTTCTGATGTAGAAGGCGCACGCAGCCGTGACTATGAAGATGGATGCCACAATGCCAGCACCCGTAGTAATCACAGAGTGATTCCACACTTCCTCGCTGCCATCTGAAAAAACAGAAATTCATCGGGAGAGTTGTAAATACTCTGACAGCAGTTTTAGAAATAAAACAAGAGGGTCGGCAAACGAATATGCTACAGCTATACTTTAAAACAAGACAATAATCTCTATCTTATGGAATACATGTGTCAATAGAAGTCCAGTACAGAATTTATCGTTGTAATTTGTATTACCTACTAAAAGTATAGCAGTAAGGGAAACAATTATTAAATAGATAAATTGCTCTATTACGAAGTTTGCAAAAATAAAAGTGTAGCTTTAAAATAGAGATATAGTATTTAGCGGTATATTTCGCTTTGGTTTGGTTAATTAGAACTGTAAATTTTGAGAATTTCACCTAAAATGACTAAAATATTAGTTTTTATTGAAAAGCTCTATATGTGCAACTTTACTATGCAAATATAAAATTACAATCTTCATTATCAAAACAAGAGGAAAAATAGTAACACATTATTAATACAGCTTCAGGCACTCTGAAATAACACTAAATCTTCTATAATCCCTAAACACCCTTTGTAATCCTGTATTTTATAGCAAGCCAAGAGTTGTCCGCCGAAAACACCGTAGCAAAAACATCGCGGGGAAAACAACGCAAGGCGAAAACGTCGTGGGAGAAAACAAAGCAAAGAGAAAACATCGCAATTCCAAACCTCTTGGTACAAAATATCGTCCTCGAAAATAAAGCGGTTCAAAAACTTCGAAGTTTAAAAACATTGACGTCGAAAACATCGCGGTAAAAAATCAAGTACTTACAAATCATCGCACGACGATAATATCGCACAAATGCGTCTTTGAGGTTTTAAAAGCTGTAAATGCATTTTCGAATAATGATTTGGGAGCCCACGTAGGAAAGAGGGATATTTTTTCTTTTATAGTTCCTATTTTTGAATGAACTACTAAATTTTTGCTGAAAAAGTAAGAAGGAAATTTAAGCATTTAAAAATTGCAAATGAGTAGAAACTTATATGCAACTTACAGCATTGAATCAAATTTTGAATTTACATTATTTAACCTTACATTAATTAACATTACATTAATTAACAACGGTCAATTATAAATTAATCATTTTTATAAAGTTTTACTCATAATTTTTCATGAAAAATACAGCCTAAAATGTTTACGAAAAGGAAGATAATTAACTGTATGAGGGTTATCTCTATAAAAATTGTTCAGTTACTTATTAAATTACTTTTTTTCACGTTTGTTAATCCGAAATTGATTTGGTGAAAATTATGACTTCTTTTGTTTCCGTTTATTCTTAAAGTGTCTTTAACATTTCTTGCGCTTTCAAACATTTATGCGAATATGCATTTAAAACCTGAAAACAAAAGCATGCGAAAATTTGTAGGTGCTTTATTTTTTACCGCGATATTTTTGGCCACGATAATTTTAAACTGGGAAGTCTTTGAACCGCTTTATTTTTGACGACGATATTTTGTACCACGATGCTTTAGAACTGCCTTGTTTCCTCTTTGCTTTTTTTTTCTCCCACGATGTTTCGTACCACGACATATTCGCCTTGCGTTGTTTTCTCCGCCACGTTTTCGTCCGCGATGTTTTCGGCTGTAATCAGTCAAGACGTGCTAGGAAGATAAATTGCTGCAATAGTTGTTGCATAGATTACAGTAACAGAGTACTTAATTAACAAGTAGACCATCCAAAGTCATGAAATTTTGACGCGTAAAATTCAGCGGAATCTCGAGTCCCACAAATAACTGTTCCGCAAATATGTATACATATTTATTGAATAGTTCACGTAATTACTGTTAGAATTTATTTTCCACAGTTAAAATATTATCAGTTTCTTATGTCGGTCTCCTTTGTTTTGCGAATGTGCAGTAGTTTTGAATTTGAAACTCTAGATCAAATAAATTCCCAAAACATATTTGAAAATTTAATTATTGAGAATCTTTAAAAACATTCTCAATAATAACTCCTGTTATTCACATAAAATTAGTTTCACTAAAATTTATGCATTTACTTTATATTTGCCGCTCAGTCGGTATAGTGGTCAGGGAAGCTGACTGCGATGCCGAAGGGCCTGGATTCGAATTCCGGAGAAGGCATGGTTGTAATAGTCCGTCCCTTCATAGGAAAGGCGATGGTGGCCCATCTATTAGGTGCCTCCATAATAAAGAGACCACCACATCCGGCCTTGTATAGATTAATGGACTGGGTTACATTTGTAATTGTTCACAATCTGCCATTGGGGGGGGGACAAACTTTATAGCTAAATGTACTGCATAAAGTATTACCATTGTTTTCCACAGTTGACTTTGAAAGAAGGGGGAAGTAAATCGCTAGAGAACATAAAGGTTAGAAAAAGAGCTTCAGATAATCAATATTACGTATTAGCTATGTGCAATAATGTTCAGTGTATAATTTAGTACTTGGAAAAGGAAATAATTACCTTTACTTTTGTAGTTATTTATGTTATATATACAAACAAGTATGTAAATAAACCTTTGGTAAATTGAACTAATCTACAAATAACTCAAGCGTTTACAATGGTGGCCAAAATTGTGGACACTTTTGGAAATTTTTATGTTTTTGAACTTTGTATGCTTAAAGAAAACGTTACGTTTCACAAAATGCAAACTTGTATATATCATTTTAAAGAGAATTTATTACTGAATTCAATACAAAACCAAAAAATTCCATTATTTGCAATATAAAAAAGTTAAACGATAATAGTTATCGATATACATTAGATAGTGATGATTGCAGTGAGTTATCAGTACTTAGTAGGGTACACTTTATTTTTGATTACAGCTTCACATCGACGTTTTATTGAGCTGACAAGAGTTTTAAGCTCTTCTTTCGTTTATTACATGATGACAGGAAACAATTATAGCCTCAATTAGTTCCCTTTTAATTGATGGGCGCCTCAGTCGGACAAGAGGTTTCAAACGGTGCCACAAATTTTCGATAGGATTGAGGTCAGGACTGTTTCCTGGCCATGACAACAATTTAATGCTCTTTGTACGAAACCACTCTTTCGATATTTTGGCCGTGTAGCAAGGAGCAGAATCCTGATGAAAAATAAACGAAGCATTGTTGGGAAAGAGATCTCTAATGGAAGGTAGAAGTTTTCGTTCTAGAATAGTGTCAATGTATTTTCTGGCATTCAGTGTCCCATCGATGACAGTACCATTTGCTGGCGACCAGTACCATTTGCTGACATGCATGACCAAATCATAACACTAACTGGGTTCTTCACAGTTGCTTGAATGCAGTCAGGATGTAGCTCTTTTCCTATTCTACGTCTTACATATTTTCGCCCATCACTACCGAATAACGATATCTTAGTTTCATCACTACATATAACTTATGACCACTGATCATCTGCCCCATTAATGTGTTTGTGTTCCTTTGCCACTGTAGTCTTTTTTTTCGTTGCGGAAAATTAAGATAAGGCTTTTTTCGTGGAATTCTACCTCTCAGTCCAACATCTGTTAATCTTCTCCTGATTGTTCTTGAACTGACAGAAACACCAGCATCATTCAGATCACTTCTGATGGCCGCTGATGACGTTTTTCTATCTTGGAGACATAGTCTTTTTATTCTTCTGTCATCAATAAATGTGGTGCACCTTTTTCGGCCTTTTCCTTCTTTGTTTTTTATTGAATTTGTCTCCTGATATCGTAAAAAAACTTTCGGACTCCACAATGTAGTCACTGAACCACCACCTGTCTTGCAATTTCAGCATAGGAAAGACCACTTTCTCGTAACACAATAATATTACATCTCTTTCTAGGTGTCCAATCTACTCCTTTTATTTGATGTCGTTGTTTCTTGACTAAATATTAGAAATTTTTACAAAAATTCCTACTTGTAATTGCAGTGTATAAGAAACAGGTCCTCCTTCTACAGAACAAAGCAAAATAAGGAATTGTTCAAGTGTAAACATGATGTCAGCTTCTACTGGCAGTTACTAACATTTGATTGGTTCTCAGAACAAGAACAGTGATTGGCCAGGAAAGCTAGACATTACAAACCACTTCATAACTGTGATTTTTATTTATATTAAAGTACATATAACTTTTTTTCGTATTCCAAATAATTGAATTTTGTGTTTTGTATTGAATTCAGTAATAAATTCTCTTTAAAATGATATATAGAAGTTTGCATTTTGCGAAACGTAACATTTTCTATAAGCATACAAAGTTAAAAAACACAAAAATTTCCAAAAGTGTTCACAGTTTTGGCCACCACTGTATATTGTGCTTAGCTTCATACTTTTAAAAATAACCTAACATATTGCCGGATAAAAAGAACTGAATTTGTTTTTCTGACATTTCAAGACGATTATATAACAATTTAAAAAATTGTATGCGTACATTTCATGCAATTTTGTGTATGCTAATAATATTAACATACTTTCTGTTAAAGGATAGCATAACACCTACCAATAGTCTACCAAAATACTCAGTTTATTCTGTAGAGTCATTAGGTTGCTTTAGAAGCAGGAGAGATGAAAAATGAGCAAAGCCTTTGCCAGCACTCAAACTACGAGCCTCTCGAATACGCGCCGAGCGTGCTGACTACTACACTACGAAGGCATGCTAAGAAGGCGGAAGAAATACCTTATATAGGGCGATTGACGTTTTAGAGGACCCAATCGTCAAATCCTGGTGGGGAAGAATCCTCATTCACCACTTTTTAGTTCGGACACCACTGTAGAGTCATTAGGTTATTTTAGAAGCAGAAGAGATATATGGTCACTTTTCTTAACCTGTTCCGCCAAACTAAGTTAATGGCACTACAGGGTTAGGAAGTGATCTTAATCATTGCTAGCAATCCGACGGTTAGGCTGCCTTTCTATATTTTACATTTTACATTAGACTTCAGTTTCTTGGACATAATTATTTTCATTCACTTGCTTCATTATCTCTATGATGCCCTTGTTGCAGTAATAGTACGTCAACAGGCCATTCATAGGATATGTGATGTAGTCGGAAGGAAAAAAACTGCTGTCGAAGGTGCTCTTTCAGAGGGCAGGAAAGCAGGTAATGAAGTGCGTCCGCGTCTTCCCCGCGAAAATTGCAAGAACAGTTTACGTCCCGTCTGAGGAATAGTATGTAATACGCTGGGAATTTCCCGTGGTTGGTACAGGCCTGGAGGAAGAGTCGGTTGCATCTGAGCCTCTTGAGAGTAGGTATTGGGAAGATGAAGTAAATCTTCCTGTCTTTTCTTCCTGCCATCGTGGTGACCATGTCTCTTGGGATGTTGTCTTGAGGAGCCTTTTTGCAACTTCTGCGGAAAGCGGAACTTCCTTGTCAATTTCTGGTTTGAGAGCTGCGGTCCTAGATAGTTCATCCGCTCGTTCGTTGCCTTTCTGCCCGGTGTGTCCTTTTATCCAGTTGATCTTTAAAGGGATGGAGGAGCCTAATGTCAAGAGGATCTTTCTAAGTGCTGCCGTGTGCGGATGTTTTTGGAGGAAAGGAATTCAGTGCATTCAGAACGCTCATGCTATCTGTGAAGAATGAAGTGTGAGATGCTTGGTTGCGTCCCTAACCATAGTGCTGCTTCTTTGAGTGTGAGGGACTCGGCTTGGAATACTGAAGCGTGGTTGCTTAGAGGAAATTAGACGAAACACTGAAACGTGGTTGCTTAGACGGAAGTAAATGAGATGAAAAATGAGCAACGCCTTCGCCGGGACTCGAACACGCGCCGAGCATGATGACCACTACACTACGAAGACATGCTAAGAAGCTGGGAGGAATACCTTTTAATTCTAGTAGGCATCTCAGGTAAGAATGAATCTTAGTAGTACAAAGAGCGCATTTATTAGTTAATTTGGGAAGACATATATTAACTACGATAACGCGATATTTTATCTCATTGTTATTGAATAATTTGCATTCCTGTAATTAATTTTAAAAAATTAAAAAGAGAAATTAAGTTATAGTGTCTCTCCCTCTTTAGTAACATGAACTAGATAAGAACTCTGGAAGGCGTTAGCGACTTCCAGCGATTCGCTATGTCATGAAATTGCTACAAAGACTTGGTGTAGAAGACCCTTTTATTAAAATTAGTAGATTAACAGAAGTCACTGCTTGTGCTTACAGAACCAGCCAGCATTTATGATGTAACTTAAAAGTAAATAATTTAATTTAACTAAGTAAATCTGAAGTTAGCTCAAAGGCTACAGAATGCCCGCAAGTTGACTCAGAACTAATATCGGCCTGACAAGCCTAATGGCCAGAATAACGTAACGCTGCAGATTAACTGCTATCAAGAGGTTCAACTAGTAATATAGCCTTAAGCAGGAGGAACACGCTTTGATTTTACAAGCTAAAACCTTCCTCTAAATATGTACTTTTTGTTTTCTATCCCATTTGAGTACATGCGAGCTAGAAATTAACATTATGGCAGGGAAACGGAAAGCGAGAAATACAGTAAAAATAATTAAAATAAAAAAATTTATTAAAAAAATAAATAAATCCTTATAAAATTATAAAAAATACCCTGACACAAGAATAACGCCTATCAATTCTATTTGGTAAATGCGTAAGTCAGGAGAGTGCATTCATGTTTGTTCACGCTCTGTTTGCCCAGACGAAATCGTAATTAGTTTTGGAAGATAACGAATTTAATTTTCATTATTAATAAGCTAATTATTTCCAAATTAACTTTATGGTTACAATTTTTGATTTCTATACAAACACGCAGCAAATTGATAAAGATAACGATTATAAGAACTCTAAACCAATAAACTTGTGTTAATACGTTTTTTGCCCGCATCTCGAAATGAGGTTTAACCAGATGCAGAATTCATTTTCTTTCAAGTAAACGTAGTTAAGTAACTTAACAAAATTAACTAATAACTTCAAACATTCGCAAAACCTAAGAGACGTAATTTCGTAAATATTTAATTGAATAAATTATATCTTGAGCGTTAGAAGTCTTCCAAATTTTGCTTGAGCGCGAATTGTATATTTATTTGCCATCGACAAAGTTTCGTGAGAGCGTAAAGCTGGTTAATCGTGCGAATGATGGGAAGAATCATCAAAGGAGAAGGAAGACAAGCTGCGTTTCACTGGGTTGCTAATTAAAAAGCACGTATTTAAGATTCATGGACGATTTACATTTCATGTGCTGATACAGATTCTTAAAACTTTACCACATCATATAAAATTAAAGCATTACTGAAGCAGTTATTTGTAAATAGTTTAAGAATCGTTCTAAAGCGGAAATTTGTAAGTGGGGTTTATGCAGCGTTCATATGTTTTCTCTAATAAAATAACTGAACGGAAATGATATTGATTTTGCATTTTTTTAATATTTGTAAGTGCAAAAGAAATATCATCAGATGAATGAATTTGTACAAAAGTATAAATAAAGAATAGTTTTGCGAAATATAACTCCATGCAATGTTAGGGATTTTGATTACTGTACTACTTTTGGTAAGCTATATTCTCTACTAGTTATCAGTTGAAAGCGTATTAATATTTCTCATTTAATATGGATTTTAAAATTTTTCAGGAACAACAACAACAACAACAAAAAAAAAAAACCTGGCAATTTAGGAGCAACTTTAGGCTTCATACACTTGCACTGCCTACAAAGATATCTGTATTTTGACTGACAGTCGCAGGTCTATTTAGCATCTGCAAAATTGGACTCATATTGGTGATAAGACTTCACTCTCTATTTTGGCTTAACTGCAAAATCTCTCTTTTTATCATGATGTACCTCTGCAATGGACCTCTTCACATACTGGTCTCAGTGGTAATGAAATGGGTGATGTCCAAGGAAGATACTTTAATGACTACCAGCACCCTGACGTTTTTGGAGATTTGCTCGAGTGTTAAATCTACTATTGCCTCTTCTTAGCATTCCCCTCAGGCTCATGATAGGTACTTTGGCAGGCAGCTGGAAGATGCTATTGCTTTTGGGGGTCATCGTGCTCAATAAACTGCTTTGACGTGGTTCCTCGGTGGACATATGAAATGCCTTAAATATGACCGGGAAAATAAGATCTAACCCATCTGTAGGAAATGTAATACTGATCATTTCACTCCTGAACAACTTCTCACCTGTTTGGGACTTGTAAAAGAGGACCTGTTGAAAAGACCTACCTTCGTATTAGGAAATATTAAAGGTTCTTGGACTCATGGATCTGTTCTAGCCTAATGGCTAACCGGTAAGGATCAGTAACAACAACAAGAACATCACAACAACATTTTCTCAGTAGTATAAACTGATAAAAACTGCTACTGGACTCTTTATGCTTAAGTTTGAAAAGTGTCGTAATATTGCTTTCTAAAACGGTGTGAAATGTGCGGGTCCAGTAAAATTAAACTATTATTATTTAAAAATTTAGGAAACGTTTTATAATACATATACAGGTTGTAGAGACATTAGGAATTTTTGGAAGCTAGAAAAGATGAAAAATATGCAACCACCTTAGCCGGGAATCGAACCACGGACCTCTGGAATACCGGCCCAGCGTGCTACCGTTATGCCACGAAGGTACGCTAGGGAACTGGGAGAAATACCTTATATACTTCTTTTTTTAAAGGGCGACTAGGGTTTTAGGGAACCTAGTCGCCTTAAGTTGTATGATTCTCCTTAATAACCTATAATTGAATAAAAAATAAACGTTAACTTACCGATGTATAGTACCAGAAAAGAAAGCGTAATATTTTCACTTGTGAAACACGTATTTTTTCAGAGAATTCATGTTACAATAGAAATTCAGATAAATATTTAGTCACAAGGAATTTAGCTAATATCAGTCACATAACGACCAATCGCCAAATCCTGGTGGTGACGAATTATTGTCCGCTACCTTTTGGTTCGGGCGCCACTGTAGAGACATTAGGTTATTTTAAACGTGGGATATAAAAATGAGCAATACTATCGTCGGGACTCGAGCTTGGAAATCTTGAATACGCGCCGAGTGTGGTACTGTTACACCAAGAGGGCATGCTGAAAAGCGAACGAAAATTCATTAGAATATTTTCTTTCTGCTTTCTTCAAGATATTTTCGAAGACGTTAACATCTCATTAGAAACAGGAACTTGCAAATCATGACATGTCTTTCTTTAAGAGTACGTTAGGTTTGAGAAACAACATCTAGGTCTCCAAAGTTAAGCACAGGTCATTCTAAATTATGTAACATTAATTGCAAGAACAATAAAATTATGAAAATTACCTCTTGATAAACTTGATGCGTTGACATTGGTCCTTTCCGGATTACAGGCTGCAAGAAAGGGAAAAAGAAGTCAATTTCTGTATGTATAGCTGCAAATTTTTAGCAACTCGAAAATTGTTTATTTGAAATTATTTTACATCTGCCCATGACAAAACATTCTGAGGCAAATAAGTTAAATACGGAAAAAAGAAAAAAAAAAAAAAAAAAGAGAATTTTTTTTTCTCCAAAGAAAAATAAAAGGAAGCTATTTAAAGAACGGTAATTCATAATTTTTTATTAAAAATGCTTCACTTGGAAATTTAAATGATGGCAATAACCCAAGTTTTAGAGAAATATTTTACAGAAATTAACTGGGATCTCTCGTATAGGACTTCGATGGAAGTAAGCTATAATATAGGGTTGTTGAGAACTCCCTGATGATCAGTAGATCAGTAGCTGGCCAAACGGAAAAATTGCGAAATAGTTGTAATTCGAATCCAGGCGACCAGACTGGCTGCTTGGAAGTTTTACTGGTTTTTATCATATTATTTTCCCTGGAAGACTTTCATGAAAAGCTTCATTGGAAGAGACTGCGATAAAAACCTTATTTAACAAGAAAGTTGTACTCCGCGCTTTCACAGAGATCATAAGCAAGACCACGTGCGAATGCACCTCAATCAAAATTTGCCATAAAGGTGAATGGATAACTTAGACTGAGAACATGACGCCTTAATTTGGTGGCCAATCCTTTTTTCGGAATTAAACCCATATAATAATTTTTGCTTGGAATATTTTTACAGATGCTTGATATTCTTATGTTTATACTCTTCGCTAAGACCTAGGCCAGCGATTATCAATTGGTGGTACGCAAGAGAGAAATAGCTGGTAGACAAAGAAACGAAGTATTTTAACTATTACATTCAAAAATTAAATACCCCAATATCCTGTTAAATTTCTTCTCTTATAAATTTATGCGATCTGAGCCTTTTTCAAGGTCAATAGCCGCTTATAGACTAGGAAAATATCTGTTTTTATTTTCACAATTATCCTTTCAGCCACAGACACAACAATATTTGTCATGAATGATGTTTTTAAAAGTAGTAATAGAAGTGGATGTTGTATTTAATAGGAAATAAAAAGAAGTTCCTATAAAAATATAATAGAATCTAATTATTTCTTTTTAGAGTTGACCGATTTATTAGCATGTCTAAACTTTTCGTCTCCACCATTTCCGGGCTCACATTGCTCTACTTTCAATTAGAATAATATTTTTTCGTCGATTTGATGTCTTTTAACAGCAGGTATTTTGTCTTCTTGTTGCTTTTTAATCCTTACTTTTCTATGCGATTTGAGAATATCGTCGTTTGTTTTTGAAGAACTCGTAATATGTTTAAAAATTATTCTCACAGTATTTAAAAATTTGTGAAAAAATAATGAAATTTTTCAGAATTGATAAATGACTAGGATTGGACTAAGGGAAAAAGTGATGATTCACACGTGATGGATCCAAGGCAATCTACTGGCACTAAGAACATTGAAAAGAAAAGAAAAATTGTTTGTAGAAAATGTAATGAAAGTTAATTTTCATTTGGTTTACTTGGAATGGAGCTGACATGGAACCTTAGCCTCAATGTGTTGTTTGCGCTGAGCTATTATCCAATCAAAGTATGAAATCATCCTTTCTTAAAGGACATCTTGAATCTAAGCATGTCAGTTTAAAGCAGGGCTTATTAAACGTTTTTCAGTCGCGACCCCTTTTTATCACTGAGATTTTTTCGCGACCCCACGACCCCATAATGTTTACGAAAACTTTGTGGGATCTCATAAGAATTGCGCAAATCCGACACCCGCGTGAGTGAAACTGTTAAATTGTACTGTAATATACTATCGCAGTGTTACGTCATTAACATTAATTGTAAAAAAAATTAAATAAGTAAGAGACTAAATGACAGTGTCACGCGCAAAGCAAGTACAATAAAAGTTTATATTATAAAAAGAATGCGTCGAAACGTTTTCGTTTTTACTTCCTTGTACGAAGTAAAAAGGAAGTATTGTAATCGCAAAAAGTTTCAGGCAGCATATTTCAACGAAAATATCCATTTTGACCGCCATCGAATGCAATTTAACGATGTTTTTGCGTGATATCTGTACGTAAGGACAGAATAAAATACTCTTTTCCTTCAAAAAAAATTATAAAACTGCTTTAAAATGAATTCTGAAGAGAATTTTTCGTGGCGTCTGCACGAACGTATGTACATACGTACGTATCTCGCATAACTCAAAAACGAGTAGCCTCAGAACGTTGAAATTTTGTATATAGGACTGCTATAACATGTAGATGTGCACCTCGTATTTCGGTTGCAATCGGCCGGGCCAAACGTATATAAATATATTCATATATATATCCACTCTGTTACCGGCTCAGTGATCTCAGTTTCTTTCTTTATGTTTGTAAATTGTACATTTTTTGCTTTAAAAAATGATTGAATTATGTTGCAGTTTATCTTCCGGTTAAGGATTTTATGCCTTTAGTAAATCTGTGTGCAATATTTTTAGAATTATCAGCAATTTTAAAGTTGCTTAATTGCGACTAAGCCTTTTTTTAATGGCGGCCATTAATGTTTACATTTGAAACAGGAGACTAGTGGATTTGTTGCCAATCTAGAGAAACTTAGCTTCCCAACAACAAAGATAACGCATTCATTTATTATTGCCAATTAAATCATGCTTAATTCTTTCTGGAATTTTTTCCATATCTCGCATAACTCAAAAACGAGTAGCCTCAGAACGTTGAAATTTTGTATATAGGACTGCTATAACATGTAGATGTGCACCTCGTATTTCGGTTGCAATCGGCCGGGCCAAACGTATATAAATATATTCATATATATATCCACTCTGTTACCCGGCTCAGTGATCTCAGTTTCTTTACTCTTATATGTCTGTAAATTGTATATTTTTTGCTTTAAAAATGATTGAATTGTGTTGTTTTTTATTTTCCGGTTAAGGATTTTATGCCTTTAGTAAATCTGTGTGCCATATTTTTAGAATTATCAGGAATTTTAAAGTTGCTTAATTGCCGCTAAGCCTTTTTTTAATGGCGGCCATTAATATTTACATTTGAAACAGGAGACTAGTGAATTTGTTGCCAATCTAGAGAAACTTAGCTTCCCAACAACAAAGATAAAGCATTCATTTATTATTGCCAATTAAATCATGCTTAATTCTTTCTGGAATTTTTTCGAGGAAACAAGTGTTTGAGATTTACTTCGTAATTTTTAATATAGATATTTGGAGCTTTTATGTATTTTTGCCTTCTCGCGAAGTGAGAACTGAATTAATTCAATGAGAAATACTCAATCGTCTGTGAAAAACTGTTTCTTTTTTGTTTTGTTTTCTTAATTTCATTTATACATCATTCCAGCTTTATTATAGTATTTGAATAGAGCATGTGGCAACGATTAGATAATTCTATTCTTTAAATGATATAAATTTTGTGCATTATGAGTTATAATATGAACTAAATTAATAAGTTAATTGTTATATAATTATTGGATTATATAACAGTTAACTTAATTTCCGTTATATAATTATTATGTAAGTTAACTGTTATATAATTATTAATACTGTTAAGTGAATCTAGCGCCAGAGTGTCGCTATGGTAAACAAATACTAGAGTGAATTTTAAAGAATGCATTTATTCTATTGTGGTTTATGCGCTTTCGGCGTAGTAGATTTAATTCAATCCAAAAAGTTTAAATGAAATGCAAGAAAAAATGCGTATAATTTAATATTCCAATTTAATATTCCGATACAAGGAAGTCATGTGGAATACACATAAAATTTTATTTTTTTGTCTGTGTTGTCTTGTCTTTATCTATTTTCAGATACATTGTGTAAAAATAATTGGTAATTGTAAAATTATTATAAGTTAAAAAATATCAAAACTGCTAAAATTTTTGGCGATCCCATGCTTCAGATCCCGCAGTTTAAGGAAACTCTGATTTAAATGATAAATCTGAAGAATATTTTAAGAGGAAATAATCGGAGTTCAAAAATAGTAAACAAGTAATTAAAGGTTTTGTTATTTCAAGTGAAAAAGCTTTGAAAGCTAGTTAGGTAGTAAACCTACTAATTGCCAACATTGGGCAGGCTCCCACTATTGGAGAAAACACTTATGTTACCAGCAGCTAAAGATATCGCTTTAATATCATTCAACAAAAAGGCGGCTAGTGAACTTACTAATATTACTTTATGAAGTAAAGCAAATTTAAATTCAGAGTTCGAGCATTAAGGTGCGCTTGTTCGTGTAAAGCAAGCACTACGTGTGTTCAAAATTTGGTGGCTTTGGTAGGTGCTAACCACCTTTCGAACGTGCAACAAAAACACATAGAGATTATTCATTTTTTAATAATAAAGAAGATATTTCACAAATATTCAGTCCAACTACCTTTGCTGATTCCGTTAACATCTAAGCTAAATTCATCCACTGCTCCATTCATCTTGAAGCTGTAGTAGCCAAAACAATTTCGAAAAACTAAAACTCGTTTTGAGTCAAGGTGTGAAAATTGCGAATGTTATTAAAAGCCGAGATTTAAATTCGAGAATATTTACGATTTTATGCTGAGATAGGCAGTGAACACAAAACGATTTTGTTACCTTCCGAAGTGAGGTGGTTATCCAGATGCAAAGTTTTAAATCGTCTTTTTGAACTCAGAAATTCATATTTTCCTCTTTGATTCCAAATTTGAATTGCAAAATTATTTATTTAGTGAATTATGGCTGGCGCATTTAGCATATTTAGCTGATATTTTTGGAACGCTAAATGAATTAAATTTAGGATTACAAGAAAAAAGCTTTGATTTGTTTATCACTACAGATAAAAAAATACAATGATAAAAAAAGTCGAGCTAATAATCAAAGAATTGGATAATAAATATTCTAAGCTTTTTACCATTTTTTACCACTAATCTTAAATAAATTGAAAAGAAAAGAAGAATGAGCATCCAGTATTAAAGATTAATGCTTGTTTATTGATAAAAAATTTCAACACGCATTTACCCGAGGAT